TCTGAGATGGAGTCTTGCTCTGTTGCCCAGGCTGGAGTGCAGTGGCACAGTCTTGGCTCACTGCAACCTCCGCCTCCTAGGTTCAAGCAATTCTCCTGCCTCAACCTCCTCAGTAGCTGGGATTACAGGCGCCTGCCAACACACTGGGCTAATGTTTGTATTTTTTTAGTAGAGATGGGGTTTCACTGTGTTGGTCAGGCTGGTCTTGAACTCCTGACTTCAGGCGATCTGCCCATCTCGGCCTCCCAAAGTGCTGGGACTACAGGCATGAGCCACCGTGCCTGGGCTGAAAAGTCTTTAACTTAAGTTTATAGGTTGTATTCACTGGAATAGAATTCTAGATTGGCAGAGTTATTTTTGTTTTTCAGCACTTAAAGATACCATTCTATTGTCTTCTGGTTTCCCAGTTTTTTATTGAAAAGTTGGCCGTAAATCTTATTAATGTTCCTCTGAAAGTACCGTGTCCTTGTAATTTTGGTTATCTGAAGGACTTTCCCGGTGTTTTTAGCGGTTTGAGCACAGTATAACTACAGAGTAGTCTTCTTTGTATCTCCTTGGTGTTCACTGAACTTCCTAAATCTGTAGCTTGATGTCTTTTAATGATTTAGGGAAATTGTAGCTATTTTCTCTTCTAATGTTACTTCCACCCCACTCTCCCTTCCACTTCTTTCCTGATTCCTATTATAATTATTTAAACTCTTGACTGTGACCCAAGTGTCTTTTATCAGCTGCTTTATGTTTCCAGTCTAATTTCTCTTTGCTTTAGTTTGGATATTTTTCTATTGACCTATTCACTAATTCTGACATCTGCTGTGTCTGGTACATTTTCAATCCATCCAAATAAGTTAATTTCAGATATTGTGTCTTTCAATTTTAAGTTGTTTATTTGAATCTTTTTTCACAGATTCCAACATCCAAATGAAATTTTCCATCTTTTTATCCATTTTATTCATTTAACACACTAGTTATAAAGTCGTTGTTTCTTAAATCCATTATTTGGATTATCTAGGGGACTGCTTCTATTTATGTTTTCTCTTGATTGCTGGTGATATTTTCTTGACTCTTTGCACTTTAGTAATTTTCTTTGTTACATGCCAAGCATTGTATGTATAAGAACCATAGAGACTGCAAATGATACTGTTACCATAGAAGGGTTCTCTTTCCTCTGTGAGGCAGACAGGATTCAGGACTAATTACTTCAATCCAGCCAGGGATTGAGCTGAGATGCAGGGTCTCCTTCTGTTGCCCAGGCTGGAGTGCAGTGGCACAGTTACAGATCATTGTAACCTTGAAGTCCCGGTCTAAAGTGATCTTCCTGCCTCAGCCTCTCGTGTAATGGGGACTATAGGTGCATGCCACCATGCCCTGGCTAATTTTTTAATTTTTTGGTAGAGAATGGGTCTCACTATGTTGCCCAGGCTGGCCTTGAACTCCTGGCCTCAAGCAATCCTCTTGCCTCAACCTCCAAAAGCACTGGGATTACAGGCATGAGCCACCTCACCCAGCCTGGGCTGGAGCGTTTGCAAGGGTCAGTCCACTCCTGATTCATGTTTGTCCTTCTAGACTTTTGACTAGGAGCTTAGAAGATTTGTCTCCGCAGTTGAGGAAGACAGAAAGAGAGTCAAGTTGGCCCCTCAATGTTTTGAATTTAGATCCTTAGCCTCCTGCCCCCATGCAGAGTCACAAATAGCAAATATCTTTAAAAATTTTTTCAAAATGGAGTCTTGCTCTGTTGCTCAGGCTGGAGTGCAGTGACACAGAGATTGCTCACTGCAATCTCTGCCTTCCAGGTTCAAGAGATTCTTGTGCCTCAGCCTCTGAGTAGCTGGGATTACAGCTCGCTAAATTTTGTACTATTTGGGATTATGCCTGGCTAATTTTTGTATTTCTAGTAAGGATAGCGTTTTGCTATATTGGCCAGGCTGGTCTCAAACTCCTGACCTCAAGTGATCCACCCGCCTTGGCCTTCCAAAGTGCTGGGATTACAGGTGCAAGCCACTACACCTGTCCCCAAAATGGCAAACATCTTGAGGGTAAACAACAAATATCCTGTGGAAAGCCCTTCCCTCTAGCAGGACATTGTCCCCTAAGAGCTATGGGAGATTTAAGCCTTTAAAAGCCTCATCCAGTTCCCCAGCCTTCAGCATGACCCCACCTGAAATAGCACTCCAGCAAATGCCCCATGGAGGAACGCCAGACAGACATTTGGGGCTTCTGTAAGTTTCCAGTTTGTCATGCCAACCCCACGTGACCACCAAAAGCTCTGCTAGTTTTTCTTCCCTCTAGATGACGCCTTTTCCCTGGGGAAAGCCCAGCTCTTAGCCCATGCCTAGAACTGGCAAATGTCTCCAGAAAAACCGGCAGGATCAGCAGTTTATTTAGCAATGGCTCTTTCCTCTCTGCAATTTTAGTGTTGTTGCTTCCACAGCTCTCCAGAGACTTTGAACATGATTTTTGCAATGATTTGTTTTCTCCCACTAGCTAATACAGAGGCCTTCCATGACCTACTGCATCCTCCTCAGAAATGGAATCTTGAATCTGGACACTTCCTAATCACCTGTTGCTTTTCTCAGTCTCTTCTGCTGGGCCATCCTTTTTCTCCTGTACTCATGAGCACGTTGCTTATACTTCTTTTCTCTATCCTCCCTCTCAGAGCTAAGTGATCTCATTCAGTTTCATGGTTTTAAGTACGAAGTGTACATAGACGATTCTCACATTTCTACCTGTAGCCCTCACCTCTTCTGTGACCTCCAGATTTTAAGGTCTAACTGCATTCTTTGTATTCGAAATTGGATGCTTACGAGACAAATTTAACATGGCTAAAACATATCTACTTATTCCCCCCAAAATCAATTCCTTCCTTTTTTTCTGAGACGGAGTCTCAAACTGTCGCCCAGGCTGCAGTGCAATGGCGCGATCTCAGCTCACTGCAATCTTTGCCTCCTGGCCTCCCGAGTAGCTGGGACTACAGGTGTGCACCACCACGCCCAGCTAGTAGAGATAGGGTTTCACCATGTTGGCCAGGATGGTCTCAATCTCCTGACCTCACGATCCGCCCACCTCGGCCTCCCAAAGTGCTGTGATTACAGGTGTGAGCTACTGCTCCCAGCCTATTCCTTTCTTACTAAAAAGACAACACTAGCCACTCCGTTTTAGCCACAGTTTTTGGCATCTTTTCCTCTCTTTCCCTCGCAATCCATGTCCAATCTATTAGTAAGTCTTCTCAGCTCTGTCTCCAAATATATGCTGAATCTGACCGGTTCTCACAAATTCCATTGCTAAAATCCTGGTCTCAATTGCATTCACCTCACACTCAGGCTACTGCTAGTAGTTTCCACTCTTCTCTTCCATCCCACGCCCACTTCATGGTCATGGTGACCAGCGTGATGACTGGTTTCTAAAGGTTAAATGAAAGCACTTCACTCACCTCCCTTGCATGAAACCTTCTAGCGGCTGTTCTGTGATAACTAGAGTAAGATCACTGTCTTTATAAGGCTCTCTATGGTCTAAACCCTACCTTTGGATCTCATCTCTTTTCCCTTTCCTGCCTCAAGAGCACACCACCCACATTGCTGGACCCCAAACTCTCGCTCATTGTCACGGTAGCCCAATGACACTCTGACACATCCACATCACTCATTTTTCAGTGTGTGGTACTTGCTGCTCCTTCTGCCCAGAGCACTGCCTTCTCCTCACCATTCTAGTGTTAATACCAAGGCCACCTCTTAGACCTCCTCCTCCATAATCACTATCTATTGCATTACTCCATTTTGTTCTCTTGACTGTAATTAACAATTACCTAGAGTCCTTTAAAAATATATTTTCTGGGCTGGGCGCAGTGGCTCACCCCTGTAATCCCAGCACTTTGGGAGGCCGAGGTGGGCGGAGTTTGAGATCAGCCTGGCCAACACGGTGAAACCCTGTCTCTACAAAAGATACAAAAAATTAGCTAGGCGTAGTGGCACAGCCCTGTAATCCCAGCTACTCGGGAGGCTGGCAAGATAATTTCTTGAACCCAGGAGGTGGAGGTTGCAGTGAGCCAACATTGTGCCACTGCACTCCAGCCTAGGCGACACAGTGACTCTGTCTCAAACAAACAAATCTGGTCTTCCCCACCAGATTTAAGCTCCTTGAGGGCAAGGTATAGTTCCTGTTCACTACAGTATCCCCCGCATCTTGAATGATTCTCTGCACATACTGGATGTCTAGTGTATTTGCTGGAGTCTCATCCATTAGAGCATAACCTACTTTGGGAGCAAGGAGTGTGGTCTAGTTTTGGTTTTCCTTCGCTGCATCTAACAGTAGCATGCACACTGCAGAGACAATGGTATAATAAGATTGAAGGGTCCCTTCTCTTTAGTATAGTGTTAGAGATAAGCTACTTCTTCTGACTTCCTCATCATTGGAATTCCTCTGCAGACTCCAGACCAGCCAAACATGTTGCTAAAGAAAAATGCAGGCAGTCCTGCCCCCACCCCACTAAGTCACAAACGGGAAAAGCAGTCTGAGTTGTTATTGCTCTGTGCTGTTGGTGCACACCGCTGGGCTGAGGTAGAAGGGAACCTGGGAAAAGAGCACTAGGGTTATGGTTTGGTGCTTTATCTCATTACCCTTTATGCTGCTTCCAAAATTTAATTGTTTTAATAGTGTTTCTAATCCCCCAAGGCAAATCTTCCAAAGAATTTCCAGACTCCAAGCAATTTAAGTTTCAGTCTAAATTAGTTGTGCCTACGTCCACACAGCATTTTTCAAGCTGCAAGTCATAAAATCAATGTAGCGATTCCACCACTAGCACTTTGTTTGAATGAAATTACAGAAAATATTAGCATGTACTGCAATAAGGGCAAATTTTTATGATTACACGCACATATATGTACTAAGTTGTGTTATGAAATTTATTTCTTCCCGTGTGTCAATGTTTTCAAAAGGTAAAGAAGTCACTGGCCTAAAGTATTAGTTTTACATGTTTTTATTCCTTAAAAGAAAAAAAGAACTTAAATGCATACTTACAGAATAGAATACACTTATTTAAAGTTTTGACAGTAAAAAAAAAAAAAAGGTTATTTAATCCAAAGTTTAACATGAGGCTGATCTCATAAGGCAATTTCTTTCCTTTAATAAATATCATATTAAAATGAGTATTATTCTGGAAGCAAATCATCCCCTAATTCTTCATCAGCAAAATCATCCTCATCGATTCTTTTTTTGGCTGCGGTTTTTGGTCTTTCTACTTGAGGGCCAAGTGGGTCCACATATGAGGCATCTAGGTTTCAAAAGAGATTGTCATGTTAGCATTATGTAAATAAACAAAACAATTTGAAACCAATCAGGCTCATAATCAAAATGAATAACTCAGAGTGAACAGAAATGGTCTCCCAAGTCATTTAAATTTTATCTGTAAATATCGAATTCGTAAGAATTCCCAGCGACACCTTTGTCTCACCAGTCTTCTTCAGACCTGCTACGCCTGGAGGAACTGGGTGGGGAGCACTTGCCTATTTCTTTGTTACTGCTACTTTCATAAGGTTCATTTGTCCCGGGTAAGGTTCTGAGTTTGGCACTTAGTCGTTCACCTTTACTACTGGCACTACAGTTCTGGCCACTATCTGAAAACACAAAAATAAAAATGCATTTGTTTAATATGTTGAGAAAACATAAAACTACATTATGCATCTTAAAGTGTAATTATTTCCCAAGAAACACTCAGGTTGTTTCATTTGGAAGCCAGCTTGTTAGGGATGTAATTCTTGTTTTCTAAAATTTGAAAGAAATCTCTTGTGGGAAATCTATAAAACAGATAAAACATCACTTAACAGTACTCTGTATACTTATTCTTTCAAATGTGTGTTTGGTTACAGGTTTCAATTTTGTGGAAGAACTTACGAGAAAGTAAGAGATCACCCAGACTAGTATAATCTAGCCAAGAACAAAGCACCTGAAGAAACAACAGAAGGGAGGTCACAAGCTCAGCATGAGCTGCATCGTCAACCTCCTATCCAGGCTGGAGAGAGGCCCTAAAACCACAGCACGTGAAAAACAGCAGAGGAGGCTGGGTAAGCTTAACCTAGTGGGCAGAGAACCTGGATCACACAAGCACTTTCTTCAAACATTTGAAGTATGTTCATACAGAAGAGGACTGGACTTCCCCCGTACAGCAGAATAGATTTTGGCTTGATATAATGATAAACTTAAAAAAGAATTATAGTTGCCAAATAGGCAATGGCTGCCTTAAAAAATGTAATCTGTATCAGTGAGGATTCTCAGGTAGAGCCGAACACTAACATTAGTAGGAAATGTTAGTAGTACTTTTTAACCAGAAATTGCTGTGATATTTTCTAAAGAACTACTCCTCTAGCCCCACAGTTCTCCTTTCTTCCCCTTACAATTCCTACGGTGGTGTTTTTTCTATTACGTTAGCCTCACTTTTAGTGAGAGTAGTCCGCTGATAAACACTGACCATTTCTTTTTGAATATACCTTTGTATTTTAGTTTACTGATAATGTCTCTGGGAATAAATTGGAACAAGATGGACTTTAAAATTCCCAAATTTTAAGATTGGCCAATTGACCCCCAAAAATAAGTCTTCTCTAAGGTTCTTATCCAAAACCTTACCATTTTCCCTAGCACTGATGTTACTGGAAATTAAAGCTCTTTAGTATATTGAATATGTCTACATACTTTAGCATGTTTTAAATTATTTTGTCCCTATTTTTTTGTTGTTGCTGTTAAAACAAAGTTAATTTTTTCCATGCAGAAATGTATACAAGTGTCTTTTAAACTGCCTGAGTGAGCTCAGGTCAATAAAGTTGAAAAACATTGCTCTAGGAATATTTCTTTTACTTCACTTTTTTTTCCTGAATAATGTATATCCTACCTGTCTCCAAGGAAAGTTTAAGATAACCCACCAAATATATACACAATAACTATACAGCAATCTTTTAAAAGATGAATGAGTACATGAGAAGAAAAGTTTGGGGGAGAAAGGGAAAATGAAGTTGGGAGGGAGTGGTCCAAACAGGTCTTCTTGCCTTAGGGTTTGCAGTCAGTGAAGGGCAAGGGCAGGAACAGTTCTATGACTCATGGGTGCATAAGATGTGACAACCAATTTCTCCACAAAAATGTAGGTGTTCCCATTAGAGAGAGAAGACAGAAATGCCTCACAGAGCTGCTCACTGAGGAATACTGTGGAATGTCAGAAACACACCCTCATTTTAGTAACTACAATATTATTTAACTTTTCATATAGATGTAAATTACCAAAATAACCTGATAGCTCCCTCAGGCACCCCAAGCCCTTCTGAAATCCAAATGTACAATTCCTATCCTAAAAGATTCAAATTTTGTGGAAAAAGCAAACCTTTAAAAAATAAAACTTGGCAAACTTGGCTGGGGAGAGCGGCATGTACCTATTGTCCCAGTTGCTTGTGGGGATGAGGTGGGAGGATTACTTGAGCCCAGGTCAATGCAGCAATGAGCTACCACAGCACCACTGCACTCAGCCTGGGTGACACAGTGAGACCTGTCTCTAAAATAAATAGATAAAAATAAACAAATAATAAATAAAATAAAACCTGACTTCATTTGAAAAATTTCAGTTGTCCAATTGAAAAACTATAAATGCAATTTTTAAAAGTTTCATTATAAAGACTAGTGTGGGTAATACTGTGAATACTGTGGTTTCATCATTTTCAACCAAGTTTCATGGAGTAATAATGCCATACATGGGCAGGTACAAATAAATCAATAAGCATTTGTAAGCCTTGGTAGGTTTTATGCTTAAATAAAATGAAACTATTTTGGAAATTATGATATGCATGTTACTACAGTAATATTACTATCTCCTGGAGGGAAGTTATATAATGAGTTCAGAAAATAAGAATTTGAAGATCAATTTATCTAAATTATTAACCAATTAAAATGCCCAAATTTTATTTATGAGAAAAATATCAGAATCATAAAATTCACTGTTAAAGGGAATCTTGAAGCTTATATATACCATAAAAAAAATACTTGTATAAAACAGACAGGCAAGATGGCGGAATAGGAACAGCTCCAGTGTGCAGCTCCCAGTGCTATCAACACAGAAGGCAGGTGATTTCCACATTTCCAACTGCGGTACCTGGTTCATCTCACTGGGGCTGGTTGGACAGTGGGAGCAGCCCAAGGAGGGCGAGCTGAAGCAGGGTGGGGCATCACCTCCCCTGGGAAGAGCAAGGGGCTGGGGAACTGCCTCTCCTAGCCAAGGGAAGCCATTAGGGACTATTTCCTGAACTCTCATCCAGATAATGCGCTTTTCCCATGGTTTTCAAAACTGCAGACCAGGGGATTCTCTCTGGTACCTACACAACCACAGGAGCCCTGGGTTTCCAGCACAAAACTGGGTGGTTGTTTGGGCAGAAACCGAGCTAGCTGCAGCAGTTTTTTTTTTTTTTTCATACCCCAGTGGTGCCTGCAATGCCAGTGAGACAGAACCATTCACTCCCCTAGAAAGGGGCTGAAGCCAGGGAGCCAAGTGGTCTGGCTCAGCAGGTCCCACCCCCATGGCGACCAGCAAGCTAAGATCCACTGGCTTGAAATTCTTGCAGCCAGCACAGCAGTCTGAGCTCGACCTGGGTTATTTGAGCTTGGTGGGAGGAGGGGTGTCCGCCATTGCCGAGGCTCAAGTAGGTGGTTTCAACCCCACAGTTGTAAGCAAAGCTGCTGGGAAATCCAAACTGGGTAGAGCCTGACACAGCTCAGCAGCTGCAGGCAGTGTCTCACTAGATGTCCTTGCTGGGCAGAGTATCTTTGAAAAAAGGCAGCAGCCCATCACAGACTTATAAATAAAGCCCCCACCTTCCTGGGACAGAACACCTGCGAAAAGGGCATGGTAGTGGGTACAGCTTCAGGAGACCTAAACGTCCCTGCCTGGCAGCTCTGAAGAGAGCAGTGGATTTCTCAACAGTGTTCGAGCTCTGATAAGGGACAGACCACCTCCTCAAGTGACTCCCTGACTCCTGTGTATCCTGACTGTACCTCCCAGTAGGGGCCAACAGACACCTCATACAGGAGAGATCTGGTTGGCATGTGGCAGGTAACCCTCTGGGATGAAGCCACCAGAGGAAGGAACAGGCAGCAATCTTTGCTGTTCTGCAGTCTCCGCTGGTGATTCCCAGGCAATTAGGGCCTCCAGCAAACTCCAGCAGACCTGCAGCAAAGAAGCCTGACTATTAGAAGGAAAACTAACAAACAGAAAGAAACAGTTTCAATATCAACAAAAAGGTGTCCACTCAGAGACCCTACCCACAGGTCACTGACCTCAAAGACCAAAGGAAGATAAATCCATGAAGATGGGAAGAAATCAGCACAAAAAAGCTGAAAACTCCAAAAAACAGAATGCCTCTTCTTTAAGGGATCACAGCTCCTTCGGCAAGGCAGCAAAACTGGACAAAGAATGAGTGTGATGAATTGACAGAAGCAGGCTTCAGAAGGTGGGTAATAACACACTTCTCCAAGCTAAAGGAGCATGTTCTAACCCAATGCAAGGAAACTAAGAAACTTGAAAAAATGTTAGATGGAATGTTAACTAGAATAACCAGTTTAGAGAAGAAGAACATGAACTACCTGATGGAGCTGAAAAACAGCACGAGAACTTCATGAAGCATACACAAGTTTCAATAGCTGAATTGATCAAACGGAAAAAAGGATATCAGAGACCGAAGATCAACTTAATGAAATAAAGTGAGAAGACAAGATTAGAGAAAAAAGAGTGAAAAGAAATGAACAAAGCCTCCAATAAATATGGGATTACATGAAAAGACCGTATCTACCTTTGATCGGTGTACCTGAAAGTGATGGGGAGAATGAAACCAAGTTGGAAAACACTCTTCAGTATATTATCCAGGAGACCTTCCCCAACCTAGGAAGGCAGGCCAACATTCAAATTCAGGAAATACAGAGAACACTACAAAGACACTCCTTGAGAACAGCAACCCCAAGACACATAATCGTCAGATTCACCAGGGTTGAAATGAAGGAATAAATGCTAAGGGCAGCCAGAAGAAAGGTTGGGTTACCCACAAAGGGAAGCCCAGCAGACTAACAGCAGATCTCTCAGCAGAAACCTTAAAGACAGAAGAGAGTGGTGGCCAGTATTCAATGTTCTTAAAGAAAAGAATTTTCAACCCAGAATTTCTTATCTAGCCAAACTAAGCTTCATAAGTGAGGGAGAAATAAAATCCTTTATGGACAAGCAAATGCAGAGAGATTTTGTCACCACCAGGCCTGCCCTACAAAAGCTCCTGAAGGAAGCACTAAACATAGAAAGGAACAACCAGTACCATCCACTGCAAAAACACACCAAATTGTAAAGACCATTGACCCTAGAAAGAAACTGCAGCAACTAACAGGCAAAATAACCAGCTAGCATCATAATGGCAGGATCAAATTGACACATAACAATATTAATCTTAAATGTAAATGGGCTAAATGCCTCCATAAGACACAGATACGCAAATTGGATTAAGAGTCAAGACCCATTGGTGTGCTGTATTCAGGAGACCCATCTCATGTGCAGACTCAGAATAAAGGGATCGAGGAAGGCTCAGAATAAAGGGATGGAGGATGA